ACGAGGAGAAAATAAAAACAAAAAAAAAAAAAAAAAAAAGAAAAAAAAAGAGAGAGAGAAAGAGAGAAACCAAATTGATTCCACACAGCAATCTTCATATCCTAGGGTCAAATTTAATCCGACAATCGCAATTAACGCCGGCGACAAATGAATGACCGCGCGCCGGGAAATCGAGTTTAGCTTTAAATCAAAGTTACGCCCTCGGTGTGTTCGGAGCTCCCCTTCGCCCTCCCTCCCCACCGTTAATTTACAACTTGAAATTTAATTTCCTCGGAATTTTGTCAACAATGCAGTTTAACGAGAACGCTGCGGAACCGGCTACAATAGAGACAATATTTGATTTTAGCTTCTGGGACATTCCGAGCGCCTGGTGGCAGGCGAGCACCGTCGCCATGGGGATCGGTGTCGCGATCGCGGTGATCGGCGCGCTCACTCTGCTAGCCGCCGCCTCCAGCTTTCTGCCCCACATACTGAAAACGCCCAAGCACACCAGAGCCCTCGGCTCCCTGCAGCTGCTCGCTGGTGAGTATCGCTCGCAACTTCTTTCTCTTCTCTTCTCTTTGTTCTTTTCTTCGGTGTCGTCCTCCTGCTGCTCGTCGCCACAGTCCGCAAGTTCACTAGCCAAGCCGGCGTTCCTTCAACTGTCAACTCCGCTCGAGTTCGAGACAAAGATTTGCCGAAAGTTTCCGCGGAAAGGGAAGTGGCGCTACGTGTCACAATTGGAAAGCCAGTTTGCCAATTGAAGTTGTACATCAAGGTACATCGATGTGTCTCCGACAGGATTGTTCTGGATTTCATGAAATTCTTGTCGCATTTTGGTGGAACAGAATCGTAGAATACGTTGTATATACGAAATGTATTCGCCACACAAATGCACACGAGATGGCTCATTGACGTTATTTACATACGCGATCGATAACGTAGCTTCACGTCAAGTTTGCAAGTTTTTAAGTTGAACGCCGGTAATGTAGTAGTTTTACGTCATTTTAAATTTGTCAATTGAATGATCGGTAACGTGGGCCTACTAGCGTTTCAAAATTGGCGCTCCTGCTATATATAAGCTGCGAAGCTTACGTATCGCACTAAACGACTGGATACAATTTTCATTTGTTTGATGAATATATGAATAATATCGCAATTACTTGAACTATAATAATGTCGCTGATATAGCAGTGTCAAGTATTAAATAAAAAGAATTAATTAATTTTCAATTTTCAATTAAAAAACAACTATTAAAATTTTTTCATATAACAATTAATTGGCTGCTGAAATATATTTGAAAACTAATTTTTGAGGAGCGGTCACGATTTGTATTTTGTCAATCTGTTACACTAAAATCTACGAGGGCAACTTTTTTTTTTTAATACACACATAACATATATATGTGTATATAGAACATATAGGTTGAAGGTCATGAACCATTCTTTAACCTGAGATTACCCACGTGAGGGTCTAGTCGCCGGGATGTACCTGCGCCCCTAGACCCCCAGGTGGGTAATCCTGGGTTAAACACGAAATACGTTTTTCTTCGATTCAAAATTCTGTCGATAGATGGACAACTTTCTCGCTAGAGCTGTCGAAAAGTAGAATTGTTAAATTGAAAAGAGAAACTTGACTGATTATCGCTTCTCGGCCTTTTGGCTAAGATCGAACGTAGTATCTGTTCTTATCAGCTTAATATCTGATACGCTCCCGCCATGGGGGAGCTTGAATATTAAACTGTTTTTGGATCTCGGCGGAGTTTCTTGGGAGCTTGCTCCCACTCTGCCATGGGTTAACCCAGCATTGCAGTTCAGCTGGGTTGGCCCTACAGAGGTAATTCAAAAAAAAAGAGTAGGTTTTTACAAATTCGTCGTTCACAATAGAAATTGGTGGGTGGTATGAGAAAACCCCAATATATACGGTAAGCGACAGTTCTCTGTATTGTGTAAGCTCTCTCTTCTGTCACTATACAGGGTGTTGTTTCCGTAATTTGTGGAAGCTGGTTGTTACGCCTAAAAATAATGAAGAAAGTCATATAAATTATATGTCCTATCGGTCTTCGTTTATGAGATATAATGAATTTTATAAACAAAGCGAACTCCTCTGTCCGGCCTCTTTTTCCAGAGACCGCGATAGTTTGTAAGCGTACCATTTTCAGCGAGTACAAGGATTTATTGAAGGTGGTAGCTAAAGGGGACATAAATACATATAACACAGGGTGGGTGTCACTGAACGATATAAAACAAAAACAACTTTCACAAACGCATATTTCAAATTTTTGTTATTTTCTTTGAAAATAATATAATTAATAATAAATTAATTTTTCATTATTTTCTTTGAAAACAAACGATATAAAACAAAGACAACTTTCACAAACACATGTTTCAAATTTTTGTTATTATTTTCTTTGAAAATAATATAATTAATAATAAATTAATTTTTTGTTATTTTCTTTCACAAACACATATTTCAAATTTTTGTTATTATTTCCTTTGAAAATAATATAATTAATAATAAATTAATTTTTTATTATTTACTTTGAAAATAATATATTAATAATAAATTAATTTTTTATTATGCTCTTTCACAAACACATATTTCAAATTTTTGTTATTATTTTCTTTGAAAATAATATAATTAATTATAAATTAATTTTTTATTATTTCATTATTTTCTTTGAAAACAAACAATATAAAACAAAAACAACTTTCACAAACGCATATTTCAAATTTTTGTCATCATTTTCTTTGAAAATAATATAATTAATAATAAATTAATTTTTTATTATTTTCTTCGAAAATATAATTAATGGATTTTTTTCTCACCATTATCTGTGAATGTTTATTAATTAAAATTTCTTTTCATGAATTCTCCAAACCCCACTTCTTCAGTTTTTCAATGGCCACCCTGTATAAATAGCAAATCCTTGCAATATAAATTAAAAAAAAAAAAAATTATGTTTACGATGTTCTTCAGCCTTGCAGTCGCCAACACGTGTTAAATAAAATCCCCCCTGTGGTGTTAATTTATTCGAACTGCACGTAACTAGTCCGATTGAACGAAACGCTTTCGCAGGTTCTCCGAGCAATCCGAGATTTATCCCCATTCGCGCGGGGGGATATCGTTGCTTTTTGTTTAGGTAGTTGCGAGAGCAACAACACCACCGGTCGTTAACGTCGGACGATCACGTTTCGCGCTCTTGAGCGCGGGAAGGGAGGCGATAATAAAACCCGTGCTCGCGCCTCGGCGCCGTGAATGGAAGCACTCGCTGGAAATTGAAAGCGGTGTCGAGCGGCGGTCGAAAGCGGGCAGAGAGAGCCGCGAGGAAAGAGATCGGCCGCGCGCGATCGTTCCTAACGATTCGGGGCGCGCGTGTAAAACACGTTCGCTACTGCGCCGGTTCCGCTTTCATCATCGTAAAACTCGCGCGGACCCGGATGCCGGTTTTTAATCTCGAGTCGCTGCTCCGCAACGGACAATGGTACGGCATTCTTTCGCGCGGACTTTATTGCCACGAGTATCGGGATCGCGTCGAATATTCGCGTTGAGAACGGTTTCAGAACGCGGATCAGTTTCCGCGGTTAAATGAGTTTCTGTCCTCGCCACGAGCAGAGCCGCGCGCGGTCGAATTTGTCAGGCCGCGAGGACGAGAGCAAAAAGACGGGGCGCGAGTAAGGGAAAAGATAAATCAAACAAGTCAAAAGATAAATCAAATAATAGGTCGAAGGATAAATCGAGTAAGTCGAAAGATAAGTTAAATAATTCAAATAATAAGTCAAAAGATAAGTCTCAAATGAATCAAACAACAAGTCAAAAGATGAGTCAAATAAGTTAATTGAATCAAACAACAAGTCAAAAGATGAATCAAATAAGTCAAATGAATCAAACAACAAGTTAAAAGATGAATCAAATAAGTTAAATAAATCAGAAGGTAAATCAAGTAAGTCAAATACATAATAAGTTAAAAGATAAGTAAGTCAAGAAGCTAAATCAAGTAAGTCAAATACGTAATAAGTTGAAAGATAAATAAAATAAATCAAAATATGTCGAGAAATGAGTCAAATAAGTCAAATAGTAAGTCAAAAGATAAATCAAGTAATAAGTCCACAGATAAAACAACTAAGTCAAAATATATGTCAAATAAATTAAATAATGTCAAAATATAAGTCAAGTAAATTTAATAATAAGTCAAAAGATAAGTCAAATAATTGAAATAATAAGTCAAAAGGTAAATCAAATAAATCAAACAACAAGTCAAAAGATGAATCAAATAAATCAGAAGGTAAATCAAGTAAGTCAAATGCATAATAAGTTAAAAGATAAATCAAATAAATCAAAAAGATGTCGAAAAAAATGAGTCAAGTCAAAGATAAGTCAAATAATAAGATGAATCAACTAAGTGAAAATATATATCAAACAAATTAAATAATGTCAAAATACAAGTCAAGTAAATTAAATAATAAGTCAAAAGATGAATCAAATAATTGAACTAATAAGTCAAAAGATAAGTGAAATAAGTCGAAAAGTGTAAGACTAGTCCGAGGCAACGTAATATGGAAAGGATTCTCAATATGTGGTAGTCCAAGATCATGCACTCGATGCAAAAACATTCAACGACGATTAGTCACCCCTGTATTAGCCATCTTTCGTCTGAAATTATATGCAAAATTGTGCTTTCATTGCTTGAGCTACTAAGAAAAAAAAAAAGATACTTGCCTATATTATAGGGGATATATCTAACGTTACAATATCCCCCGTAACAATATCTTGTTAACGTAAAAAGAAAAAAAAAAAAAAGAAGGAAACAAAATGGCGGAGGCTAGGCGTGCCAAACCGCGACGCTCCGAGCGAGACTATGCTAGACGTTGCTGTTACTTTTCTGAAAAGCTTCATTGTCCCGGAGACTCACGGCATATGTTCTTAGCAGACTCGCTCTGGCGAGCTCTGTCGCGGCCCATCGATCGGCAATAAACGTAAGACGGGAAGCTTTAATAACACGCGGCTGAGACTTTGGCGCAACCGCCCCCCACCCCCTTTTATCTCGTGCACCGTGGCGCGAACCTACTTTCCAACCTAATCTCCCTTCCTTTGCCTCCTCCTTTACCTCTCTGCCACCTCGTCCTCCCTTTCTCACATCCCTCGCTTCAGCATCTCGACATGTCTGGCGAACAACCGAAGGCAATAACCGCGATCTCGGTTGCTCGCGAAAAAAATTCCAAGCCAAGAGGAGAGATGACGAACTCCTCTCAGCTATGGATTCGAGATCTGCCGAAATGAAACGGGGGGGAGAGGGGGGGGGGGCGTAATTAACGTGGCTCTGTGCTCCTCTTCTTCGACAATGAGCCCGTCGTAACACGATTTCCGTGGCAAGTCTCGCGACGAGTCTTCAAACGCGAAATTGGTGTGTTTGTTCCCGTGAAGCGAACAGAGTAGACTTCGAGTTTTCCAACAACGATATAACATACGTACGTAGGATAAATCTCTTTAGATCTAGGTCTGGTGGGGATCCAGACCTTTGTTCTTCATTTCCAAATGAAGATCTGATCGAAGCCTCGACACGCGAGAACGTTCTCGAGGGTCGAAGGAGAACCTGTTTAAGCAGCAAGGAGGAAGGAAAGACGTGCGTTGTTTTCGCGCGGTAACGAGAGGACGCGACGTTTCGCAGAGGACGGCTAGACAACGTGGACCGTGTCCACAAAGAAAACGGATATTACTCGAATATCACTCTTCTTTGAAACGTTGACACGTTTCATTTTCCCGTTGGCCGCCGCGGCTGTCGCTTCACCGTTGCCTTTGAAATGATTTTCCGTCGTGCGTCACCGGCCTCGCCCCATGTTATTATTAACAAACTCTCGGTAATTTTATATATATATATATATATATATATGTATATAATATGTATAATTTATAAATATTATATATATTAATATATATGCAATGTTATAATAGTTAATATATATTACTACGTATATATATACAATTTATTAATAGTATATATATTAATTATATATGCAGTATTATAATTAATATATATTAATATGTATATATAATGTATATATAATATTGTAATTAATGTATATTAATA